ACAGGAAGAGTGCTGGAGCTTGGAGCCAGTCAGCCTAGCTGAAAAATGGTAAGTTTCAGATTCAGTGAGAGGAATAAGAGAAAAAGTGATAGAGAAAGACACAGGTGTCCTCTGACCTCCTTATGCATGCAAATGAGCACATGTACCCACAAACATGTGTAAACATGCATGTAACTCACATACTCAAACCTATATACAATGCCTGCCAATATCATTTCTGAATTTCCAATAATTGAACTGATTGTTAAATACTTGCTTTATGACTATGCACAATGACACATGCCTGTAATTCTCTAGGCTTTGGCCAGAATCCTCCCTACCTATCCCTCAACCCACAGCCCTGCCCCCACCAGGCCATATCTAACCTTTCTATAAAGATAAATCTACCCCACACTTCAAGACTGGACCAGGAAGCACATCCTTACTCCAGCCCAATCCCCTTTGTCACCTGACTTCATTCCAAGCCATTTTTAAGCTTTAGATACAGCTCATCAGCACACCACCCCTCCTGCTCCAACCTGCTCTGTCCATATCAGACAGGAAAATACAAAAGAAGTTGACATGCCTGGATCTCATTGTAAAAAATTCAAACACTATGAAAGATCAAGCTAAAATTTTTTTCTCCCAAAAACTACCAGTCCTGTAGAAATGTTTGCCAATGAGAATGACCTAGGTGAACCCCAGGACACAGATTTTAAAAGAACAATCATAAACTTCATCAAGGGGTTTAAGGAACACAAAGAAACAGCTCAATGGAATTAAGAAGAAAGAGTTCAAGGAGACTAAAGACCTGAGTGATGCCCAAGAAAACACAGACACGAGGCTGATGGAGGTGAGGAAGATAATTCAGGACTTGAGAATGGATTCCATCAGGAGATACTCAGACTGAAATGATGGAACTGAAAAACCCAGACACTCAACTGGAAGACACAAAGGAAAGTTTACAAGAGAGTGAATCAAGAAGAAGACAGAATATCAAGACTCAAAGTAAAGGATCTAGAGCAAAGAGAGGAATGTGAAAAATAATTTAAACACAGGAGAAGAACACACAGAAAACGTAGGATACCATGAGAAAGCCAAACCTTCACATTATAGGTGTAGATAAGTGAGAAGATCCCAAGTCAATGACAGAGACCAAATCTTCAACATGATCATAGACTAAAATGTCCCCAAACTGAGAAAACACACACCCATGCAGATACAAGAAGCATGCAGAACACCACATAGACAAGACTACAACATACAGAAAGTGATGGTTGCCCTGCGGTGGTGGCACACGGCTTTAATCCCAGCACTCAGGAGGCAAAGACAGCCAGGTAGACCAGGCTGACCTGGGTGACAGCCAGGGCTACACAGAGAAACCCTATCTTGAAAAACAAACAAAACAAAAATTTAACGAATTGCCTACATTAAAAAAAAAAATCAGAAGCCAGGTATGGTGGCACACACTTTTGATTGATGCACTTGGGAGGCAGAGGCAGGCAGATCCCTGAGTTCAAGGCCAGCCTTGTCTACAAAGCTAATTCCAAGAAATCCAGAGCTACATGGAGAAACCCTGTCTCAAAAAAAAAAAAAAATCAGACTGAGCAAGACAAGGAGACCCACACTCAGGCCCCGGGTGGACTGCCCCAGGTTCCAATGAGAAAACATGAGCCTGCCCAGCGCTTTGCAGCGCTGAGCCGTTGAGTGCTGCTATGTTGAGCCAAGGTATGGCATGGTAGGGGAGGGAGAGACAGAATGGTTCATGTTCTGTGGACAGAGGCATATCTGAAGAGGTGAAAGCCGTGAGGAGCAGGCCGAGGTGGGTGGCTTGATTCCTACAAAGGGCCATGGTGATGTCTGGGCCTGGGCTACTGCCAAAACCATTGTCTGGGTTCATGCCCCTGATGTAGCTGAGGTCTGTGGTGATGTCCATGGCTCCTGATACCACTGAAGGCTGAGAAGATAGGGCTGTACAGAGTTGGCCCCAACCCTCGCTGGCTGCAACTGGGGAGAACTGGTCCTGCCCATCGCTGGCTGAAGCACTCAGGAGAGAGGGTCCTCCACCTCACCTGGGCAGGGCAATAGAGCTGACCCTGTTCACAGGGGCATGGGTGAGCTGGCCCTGAGGGCATGAGAATGGGAGAACTAGAGAAGGGAATTAAAGGGATACAAATAGGGACAGAAGTCAAACTATCTATATTTGTAATGACACGTTGATACTGTACATGAGAGAGCTTCCTCCAAAAAAGTAAAAAACAAATCACACAAACAAAATCCTTCAAATGTGTACAGTAACATGGCCTGTCAATGCCTGCAGAGCCACAGTACAGTCTGTTGGCTGTCGGGAAGTTGATTCTTTTAATCTTTCTTTCATTTTACTCATTCAGGTATTGCTTATTAGCATGTGCTACGTTATTATCATTTGGTTTTAGAATGATGGGGGGGGAATGGTAATAACTGTACTAGGAATCGTGTGTCACAACAAACTGCATCAGTAAGTGAAAGCTGGTGTGCCTGACGTCTGAAGCAGGGCTCCACTTCCCTTTGTTCCTCCACGACAGAGTGTGAGCATGCTCGTCTTCAGGCCGTACACCCTTACAGTTGTGTAATGCCTGCCGCACATCTAGACAAGACACTAATGTTCCAGACAGGAAGAGCAGGGGATGGGCATCACAGCCGAAGGAGGCAAACACAAGGGTCCCCCATCTTAAAGGGGTGCTAGGAGTTCGACCCAGCTCAGCTGTGCCCCTCTGACCATAATCCTTTCAAATGGAAGGCCATGGGTCACTCAAGCTACTTTTCTATACTTCTACACATAATTGTGATTTTTATTTTTCTTTAAAAATAACTGTTAAATTTTCTATGAGTTTAAGATATGTAAGTATGATTTTTTCTGTGCAAGCATTTGCCAAAGAAAATCATTGTTATTCATTCTCTCTCTCTCTCTCTCTCTCTCTCTCTCTCTCTCTCTCTCTCTCTCACACACACACACACACATACATGGGAGGGGGAGTTTAGGTATTATAAATTAAAAAAATTAAAAGTGACCCTACAGATATGCTTGAACACTATAAATGACTTTCATTTCCAAGTTCTACCTTATCTTTACCAACAGCTGCACAGCAAACACACTGTTGGGTGGATAGACCATAACTGATGTGTCCTGTCCCCTATTTTTGACATTTAGAATGTTTCCAATTTTTCATAATTATCAATAAAGCTGTATTGAATACCCTTACACAAACACGTTTACCCATTAGTTCAATTGTTTCTTTCAAATAAATTAAGTCCTTGAAATAAAACCGGTGGAATGTAGGATCTACAAATTTAAATGTTCGAGACATATTGCCAAATTGCTTTCCAGAAAGATTGTACCAATTTCACTAACTTTTCCATTGCCGGGACATGAGCATGCATCACAGTGACACCTTGGCCCACTTACGAGGATGGATGGCTCTGTTCATGCAGTCTTTAGAGGCCAAGAGCTTCATAATTCAGGCACCAATTACATTTGGAAATAAGATTAGTAGAAGGAATCTTCTTACTCATCTCTCTGGCAGTTTCAAGGTTCCATTGCTGAGCATATGAGACAATAAAGCAAAACCAGTGAGATGAAGTCAGTGCGGACCCAGAACATTTACCATGATAGACGCTTCCATTTAGGGCCAACTTTCAGGGTAATTTGCTTGCTCTGGCTGGAAGAGGCATTGCTGGGCTCCATCCACAGTCTCTCCATTAATGATCTTTATCTCTGTAGAACATACCTTGATATTATCAATTCTGTCTTCTCAAAGGTAGTCATGATCCTCTCTCTGGCCCAAACCTATGCTTTGAGAGTAGTGTCCAATGTCTAATTAGAAAAATGTCAGGAACAGCCCTGGAGAGTTGGCTCAGGGCTTACCGCTCTTGCAGAGGACCCAAGTTCAGTTCCCAGCAGTCACATCAGATGGCTGCAATCACCTGTAACTCCAGTGCCAGGGCATCAGACATCCTCTTCTGGCTTCTGTGAGCACCTGTACTTGTGTGCACATACACACATATACATACTTAAAACAGAAACATACCAGGGCCTAGAGAAATGGCTCAGTAGTTAAGAGCACTGGCTGCTCTTACAAATGACCTCAGTTCAGTTCCAGTATCTACATGGTGGCTCACAACTATCTAAAACTCAAGCTTCAGGTGATCTGACATCTAATCTGGCCTATGAGGGCACACATGTG